GCCGCCCACCCTAGGACAGCACATGGCCTTTCCTGGTCCAGCTGCCAATGATTTGAGGAACTGAAGGCACTGGAGGCAAGAGAGGTTGAGACCCTTCAGGTCAGAAGGGTAATGAAAGGTAGATGTGTAGGCGGCCAATTTCTTTTTATTTTAAAAATTTTTAATTTTGTGGTACTATGGGTTGAACCCTAAGGCACTCATGCTGAGTAAACCCTGTATTTTTACTTGTTTATTTGTTTTTGAGCTACACACCCTGCTATTTCTTTTTGAGACAAAGCCTTGCTAAATTTTCCAGGCTGAACTGAACTTGTAATCCTCCTGCCCCGGCTTTCTAATTACAGCAAGGGTTACAGGCATGTACCACCATACTCAGCCCAGTTTACTGCTACTGATCGTGGTATAAAACTTATGATCGACAGCATAGCTACTGACCAAATGTGGGTACACAGTGTCTTCCTAAAACAGATAAAAAATTTCTCTACCCTTGGCACATCCTGAATTGTGTACTCAGCATGACTAAAGTGGAAACAGTTAGCTCTGAGTTTCATAATCAAACGTGACTAGAAAACAAGATTCAGCCAAATTTCCTTCTAGCAAAATTCTGAGTAACCAAGTTCTACACAACCAAGAATCACAGCCACAGCTTTGCCCTGAGGCTTGGTATACTGTGGGAAGGACCCAGGATCCACCAGAGAGAAAATCTGAGAACAAATCCATTTACTCATGAATAGAGACTCACACCATTTTGACAGTAAGTCAACTCCTGCTTTTGTGGCTTTTCTGACTTGCGCATAAACTAAGTAATCTGAGTTGATGTCCAGGATCAGGTATACTAATACAAGTACCATACATTTTTTAATGTATCAAATATCTTGTAAAAGAAACCAAACTCTATCCTGGTAATAAGAGCAGTGGAATCCAGAGTACCTGGCACCTGCAATTAAACCTGCAGGCATAAATTTTCCAGAGTGGTAGAATCTCATTCCCATAATGCCGGCCAAGGTCCCAGATGTAACTAACAAAAAAAGAAAGGAAAAAAGTCACTATCTCTTATATGCAAGGGGACCAGAAGGGAGAGCCCCACTGCCCCCTGAGGCCCAGACTCCCGCCTCTACTTAATCCTCCTTTCTCATGCAGGGAGGGCTCGCTGACTATCCACACCCTGGAGCCTGATAAAGTCCCGCCCACCCTGGGCCCAGCCTGCCTTCTCGGCTTCCCCTCACCACTCTCCCGAAACGCCCATAGTTCACCCATCAGTGCCTTCCTTTTCTCCAAAATGCTACAGGAATGCTTTCATAAGGTAGTGTTTCTCCCCACGCTTTTCTGGTTGGACACACCACAACCATACTTAAAAACTGCCTCCAACCCTCGGTTTCAAGTCTGATAGGGTAAACTAGTCTTTTAAAAAGTGTAATTTGTGCTACAGGTGGGTGATGTATCTACTCAGATCTGAGGCTTGGTATACTGCTAGGGTTAGCTGAAGATGAACTCATCAAAAATGAGAGAGGTCACCTGAGCTGAAGGCAGGGTAGAGAAGTATACTCCAAGAAGAGAGAAAAGTGTATGCAAAGGCCCTGTGGAGAGAAGAGCCCATATTCAAGGAACTAAAAGCCAGGGTGACACAGACATCAAGACCCAAATGGATGGGACAAGCCAGATGTGTGTGGCATCTCAGGTCATGTCTGGGCAGGGGCCCTGCCACATCTTGAAAGCCTGCACACACGAGGCTCTATGCTGGAGACAACCATTTGTAAATCACTTGTATACTAGAGATAATTTAAGGTATGACCTTCAGTGACACTGCCAAGTGACAGAGTGTAAAGGAGATAGAGAGCCAGGTCCTAAGTTCAATATTCATTTACGAGAGGAAGACTGATTAAAAACTAAAGGATGAGAAGACAAAAAGGAAAACCAGGAATGATCCGTCAACCATGCGAGAACAGCCTACAAACCATGTCAAAAACAAGGGCTAAAAACGACTATGATTTGGTACAAACGCAGGTCCCCAGCAGCCTCAGGAAGTGGCATGCTGTGGGCGAGGCAGGCAGAGCAGAGGGAAAGGAGAAAGCAGGGAGAGGAGAAAGCAGGCGGGCATTTGGAGAAGTCTATGAAATGGAAGGAAAGGCAAAGAACTTGAGGAAGTAGGGCCTTTTCTTTCTAAATGGGAGAGAAATGAACACAGGGGCATCATGGGGAAGGGCCCCCCAAAGAGGACACAAAGACAGGGGCCTTGCCAGTGCAAAAATTGGAGGGGGGGGGGGCGCGGGAGAAGAGGGATACCCGCAGGGGCAGGGACAGGACTGGAGGATGGGGCCCTCCCATCAGGAAGGTCAATGGGAGGTCTTCTGCTGAGAGAAGTTGGGGCAGGGGACACTGGGAAGGGCGCCTGCAAGTCAGGCCCTGCTTGAAGAAGGAAGCTGCCAGGCAGAACCCAGGGGGCTGTGCCTGAGTCCCACTGCAGCCTCTCCTGCCCTCCTTTGTGGGCTGGGCCACACCTGTCCCCCTCCTGTACCCTTAGAGCGAGAGCTGCACCTGTTCTCACCCTGAGTGCGCATGCGAGGAAGGCTCAGAGGCACCCGCTCCCGGTGCTGTGGGAGTGTGCCTGGAGCCCAACATAAAAGTAGCAAAAGCAGCCACCCTGTTGAGCAGCCACCTTCCTGCCCAACTTCCCACAGTTCCCTGTCACACCTGACTCCCAGTTCAGCTGAAAGCTCCCTGGAGCCAGGACTCTGTCTTCTCCAAGCTGCTAACGAGGCAAGTGATTTCCCAAAGGGAGAACGCGATGCTGGAAGCAAAGCTCACACGTCCGCGTGTTACTTTACTTGTGTCCAGGCAGATGTTGGCAGCATACACGCTTGCCTGGCACCAGCAGGCAAACTAGGATTAGCATAAACTAATCTCATGAGTATGAAAAGCCCTTCCACAGTCTATATGTAAAAAATCAACAGAAATCAGGCCAATTCCCAGTGGAGCAAGCAAAGCTCTCTGGAGTTCCAGCTGGCCACACCCACCAGCCCAGGGCCTTCCGGTAGAGCAGGTGATGGTTCCAGATTGGCCTTCCAGACATGAAGCACATACCTAGGGAAACCCAAATGTTCTTGGGGTCCTGAGACAGCTGGTAAGCCCCCAGGCCCGCTAAGCTCCCGAAAAGGAGCCCAGCGGCCAGGCTTGGCACGCTACCTAAAGGGAAGCAAACACAGACCCGCGTTACCCACGATACTTGGTTCATTCACCAACTCCACCAGAATCCCTTCCCTGCAGGGGAAACTAGCCAAGGTCCATGGCTCATGACCAAGGTGCTCCCAAGCAGGAAAGTGTTTTGGGAGCTTGCTGATCTCACTGGGCGCCAGGGTCTTACTACCCCATTTCTCACAGGAAGGGCACTTCCACTCCAAGGAGAAAAGACCACCTTCCTTTCGTGGGTACAAGTGTGGTCAGGGCTTTTCCTTAACAAGTCCTGATCAACCCATCAAGAGCTGGACTGTGTATGGGGACTCCATACCACAAAAGGAGAGGGAAATGGTGTCAGCTGAAAAAAGATCTGCACAACAAGAGCTCTGGGTGGGGGTGGGCACCGAGGCAGGGGTGCAGGCAGGGAAGGGCGCAGAAATAAGCCCTTCCCCCCTTCAAAAGCTCAGAGATGAGCCTTGGGGGTGGAGGCTGATGGGTAGCACTCGATAGTAATCATCTACTACCACACCTGCCTGTGTGCAGATAAAGGCGACACTAGGCAGCAGGGCTGAGGTCAGTCAGATAATCAGAGGCAGGGCGGGGCAGGAGGAGCCAGGAGACTCCCAATGAGGCGAGCAGGACTCAAACTCAAATTTGTCACAGTCATTGAAACAATTCTAGATTTACTTTTTATTCCCGAGCATGCATGAGTATGCACAGATGTGTCACTGGGGATGGAGCTACAGCATCTCCTCTTTTATTCCAGTCAGGATCTTGCTAAGATTCTCAGGCTGAGCTCAAACTTGCAAGCATCCAGCCTCAGTCTACCCGAGTGCTGAAATCCCAGGCAGGTACCACCCAGCCTGGCACCATCCAGCCTGGCACTCCCCAAGGGTTTTTAAGAGACCAAGTGACTACATAACCCCATACCTGCTTTTGCATAGCCAATGATCCCACCAGTAGCAACCAGGGTGGCATAGCCATAGCCAAAATAATGTAACGGCACTCTGAAAGGTAAGACAGAGAAATCGGTGCTAAGGAGGTTTTAAAAACAGGCCATGTAATCACGGGATAGACTTTAAAAACGAAGTTTAGAGAGGCTGGATTTCTTGCTAAACCACCCAACTGGTCAGTGGCAAAGCAGAGACTCAAATCCAGGTCTTTGGCCAACATGTCCAGCCATCCTCCTGCTGCCCCCAACAGCCCACACTTAGGGCTCTTTTCAGAAGGAGAGAGGAATTCTGGTTTTAGGAGCTCTGGGCTCTTCCGTGTACATTACTGTACTTACAGTGGGCCGGAGCTCCTCTGCATTGTTCTGTGTCCAGGTGGGTGACCACACCAAGCCTGCACCTGCACAGGGGAACAGATCAGACGCCAGTTCCTAGCACACTCTGGTGTGTCCTGCTGCAGCACTAGCTGGAGCAACGGACTCCTAAGCTGCACAACCTCCCAAAGTCTCCGGCTTCTCCACTGTTACGAAATTAAGAGGGCCAGGGGTACAGCTCAGCGGCACAAGGGCCTGCCTGGCAAGTGCGAGGAACTGGGTTCGTTTCCCAGTATAGAAAGCAAGCAAACAAGGAAGCAGGCGGGCAAATCTCATGGGGCTGTCATGAGCATTCGATGGCGTAATAAAATGTGCTTAGCACACAGTAAATGGAGGACAGCCGGTTTTTCTAAGAGTCCTAATGGAAGACCACAGGAAAGCAAGTTCTGGGCCTCTAACCCAATGATCTTTAAGGTCTCGGAAAGGCGGGAAGGAAAACGGGCACTTTTCATTTCTGCCCCAGAAAACTACTTCAGTACTCAACGCTTGTAAAATTTACCAATTTGCATCAGATTCCAGCTCCTGTTAGACAGCGTGTAGGGGGCATAAAGTATACGGAAGCCCGAGGGACGGCCACGTGGGGCACCACACGCTTAGAAAAGGATCCCCCCCTCTCCGTGAAGAACACGATTCCGCATCCAGCACGCCTCACCCGCCGCGCAGCGCCCACCCCTTTCCGGTCTCCCCAGGACAGGGGTGGAGGCCTTGAGGTCGTGAGTTCGAAGCCAGCCCAACACCAAATTCGAGCTGTTCAAAGAACCGGAGCCCTAAAAGCTCCAGGAACCGAAGCAGTGCCTCGCTCAGCACTTGCCAGAGCTCAGGGTTCCGCGGGGCTCCCGACTTATTTTAAAGAAAATGCGCGACCCGAAACGCAAGCAGCCCGACACGGCCTAAAGTCCTCCTCCCCCGCAGAGGAAGACAAAAAGCAGGCAGCAGCGAGACCGCGCCGATAAATCCTAAAAGTCAAACTTGGTGTAAACGAACAAACCTAGGCCGCGGGCCTGACGAAGGTCTGGATCAAGGTCTACACCCAGACCCCGGCGCCCACGGGATCCCCGGAAATGGGCGTGTCTCGGGGGCGGGGCCCCGCGCGCGACTCGCGGATAGGCCCAGCCAGCCGTACGGGGCGGGGCGACGGAGGCACGATTCCGCGCATGCTCCGTGTCCCCGGTCCGGCCTCCTGGGGCGGGGATTGAGGCTAAAAGTTAAGGACCGGGAGGGGTGGGGGGTGGCATCGGCGGATCCTTCAAGTCCCGGAGCCAAACTCGAGTGGCCGGAAGCAGGAAACCCAAAGTTTGACTCCGGTGTTGCTCGAAGCCGGAAAATCCGGGCAGGGCGGGTGTGCGGGTAGGAGGAGGCGTCTGCAGCGGGGTTCGGAAGGCTTCGCCGGGGAGATGGACGCCGTGTGCGGATGGGAGCCAGCTGCGGACCGTCGGACTGGCAGGGACTAAGGTGGCGCAGGAGAGACTCTAGGGCTCGCTTCGACGTCTGTGTTGCGGGAAGTGAGGCTCTGGAGCGGCGTCTCGGAGGTCAGTTAGAGAAGGCTTCCCACCCCGCCTGTGGGACCCAAGGCCGGACTGCCATTGCCTCTCCTACTGACCCTTTTCCTGTATTCCTTTAGCTCTGCGGCAAAGTTGGGCAGCACCCCGGACTTTCTCGCCTCCCTCTCCTGTCCCCCTCAGGTAGACACATGGATACAGCTCGTTATCTTCAGTGAATGAAGCTCACTGCAGCGCGTGTCTACTCAGAACGTTTGGAACTTCAAACAATCCCAGAATACCAGATCCTACTAGTTTAATGGAAGTCTCTGTTCAGTAATGAACAATGGGATTTATTTTAAACAGCTGGAAATGGATTTGGAGACTCAGTCCTCCCTAGTCTGCTTGAAGCTTCGATTCCTACTTGTATCAAACCAACCCGCTCCCACCCACACCCTCTTTAGATTTAAGGAAATTGAATCTTAGAGAAGTACCTACCAGTTGAGGGTGGTGGCCCAACCTGTAATCACACCACTCAGGAGGATCACGGCAAATTCATGACCCGCCTGGGCTACATTAACAAGACCGTCTCAAAACAAAAGTATCCTGAGGTGAAGGCCTTCCTGGAAATGAAATTATGTGTCACCAACTAGCACAGGTCCTTGCTTCAGGGATAATGTAAATTAAAACAGGCATTTGGTTCAAATTTACAGGAAAGTTTTCACTGAAAACTAAAAGCCAGTGCTGAGTGCTGAGGCAGAATTGCCATGAGTTCAAGGCCAGCCTGAACTATATAGTGAGACAAAAAAAAAAAAAAAAAAAAAAAAAAAAAAAAAAAAAAAAAAAAGCAAGCAAGAAAAGAGAACCAAGAGATGGAAGAAGGGGAAGGGAATCAGGTATAAAAAAAATTCAGATGTGTTATGTAGCTGTACCAGCTCCCCATAATGAATATAATCATTATGTACTGAAAATATGTAAATAAAAACTAAGGAAACAAAAAAACAGAAGTAGGGTGGGGTACAACTCTGTCAAAGATGAAGCCAGAGCCAGAAGTGGTAGCACACTGCGAGGCTGAGGCAGGAGCATTACAAGTCTGAGGCCAGTCTGGGTAAATTGGTAAAATCCTGAATCAAAATATAGGAAGGACTGCAGACTGGATGTGTGTGAACTCTGTGAATGTCCTAGTTTCAATTCCTAGTACCAATAATAATAATAATAATAATAGTAAAGCTGGTCTTTTTTGGGGGGGGCAGGGTCTCGCTAAGCAGTTTGGGCTTTGTGCTCACTTTTGTAGCCCCCAGGCTGGTCTCCAACTTGCAGAGACTTCCTGCCTCAACCTTCCAAGTGCTGGGATTATAGGTGTACCACCACACTCGGTTTCAGGGCCGAACAGCTTTTTTTTAAAAAAAAAAAAAAAAGCTGGTCTTGGGGCCCGAGAGTGGAATAAGTGCTTCCCTGGCAAGCACAAGGGCCTGAGTTCAATCCCTCGTTGGGGGAGTGGGGGTGGTCTTATAACAAAGGAAAGAAAATGAGAAAAGCGCTACTGAAGCAGGCACAAGTTGGAAGATGTAGATCATAGGGGGCCAGGGAGATGGCTCAGTACAATAAGAGCTTCCTTGGCAAGCGCAAGGGCCTGAGTTCAATCCTCAGTTCCAAGAAAAAAAAAAAAAAATGTGGATCAGACTGGCCTGTCCTCAAAAGGGAAGAAACCAGATTTGTGGTGTGCAGTGGCGGGCTGGGGTCTGGCTGATTTTACATAGAAATCTTACAAGTACCGCCTTGCTGGTGTATAATATGCACGTACAACCTGTCTCATAATGATAGAGACCACTATGAGGTGGCTCTGTGCAGGATTTATTAGCCAATTGGCTCTTCATGTTTACTTGTTTGTCCAGTACCCTTGTCAGAGATGGGCAAGGGACTCAGTAAGTGAATCTCAGAGTCACAGGGTCCTGCTGAGGCCTGTCTTGGTCCATCAAGTTGGGACACCTCAAAGGACAAGGCCACAGCTGAGGGCATCTGGCTCCAACCCCAATTAACTAAAGAGACTAGTTTCAGCCTTTTCAATCCTGAGGTGAAGGCCTTCCTGGCAGTAATACTGAACCCACTTTGGCTATGAGATATGGCCAAAATATGGTGAATGTTTATATTAAAAGATGCTGACAGCAAAAAGCCAGTCATGGCGGCACACGCCTGTAATCCCAGCACTCAGGGAGGGTGAGGCAGGTTGTTACAAGTTTGAGACCATCCTGGGCTACAAAGTGAGTTCAAGGTCCGCCTGAACCATAGTGAAACCCTGCCTAAAAAAGTTGACAGAAGGCAAGTTGCCTTGACTTCCTTCAGAATACTCCCCTCACTTGCACGCATCCCACCATTGTTACCACTTTGTGAAGCCGCTCTGCAAGCTTTCGTCTCTGGGTGTTCACAGGTGTGCTAACTGTATGTACAGTGAACGCTGCGGCCCAGTGCCACCCAGCGGCAAGGCAGGCTTGTGAAAAATGGCTGGGTGTCTTTACCTCGATTGCTGGATCTGGCTCCATGCGACTGATGGCTTTTCCAAGTCAAGGACCACAGAGACGGAAATGTTCTGAATCAATCTGGACACCTCGTTAGTCACAAAAGCAACCAGACAGGAAAGCAGATTTCCAGACGTGCTTCAGAAACAATGTGTGTTCAGTACGTATCATGAGGGAGATTCATGGTAGTATCTTCTATTGTAACACATTTTATTTTTTTTTTTTAATCTTTTATTTGGTAGAGGGTCTCTACACAGCTTGGAATTACAGTGATCCTCCTGTCTCAGCCTCCCCAGCGCTAGCATTACTGGTGTGTGCCACCACGCCCAGCATCAGTGGCTGGCATACAGGACTGGGGATCGAATCCAGGTCCTTAGGCTTGCCAGGCAGGTACTTAAGACTGCTGAGCTATCCTCTCAGTCCCTATCATAACACATTTAAACTATTAAATACGTGACAGGAGTAGGATGGTGCGAGGCTGGCAGAGTCCTGGGCTGGGAGCTTAGTCCATAGAAGGAATTTTTGCAGCCGTTGGTCAGCTCTAGTACAAAGGGCTACGTGCCCATCGTGCGTAATCGGCAGCCCTCAGGAAAAGCATGTGGTGCAGTTTGGGTTTGTTTGAATCTGTGAATTAAAATGACCTTGTCTTTTCTCCACTCTGACAGGGATCCCCAACCTCTTAGGTACCAGGAACTGGTTTTGCGGCTTTCCAGGGATGGTTCAGGGGAATGCAGACCTGCAGGGGATCCATGCTGCCTGCTCTGCAGAGGCAGAGCTTGGGCTGGGTATGCGTGCTATGGGGAGCAGTGACCTTAGAGAAGTTTCCCTCACTGCTCACCTCCTGCTGTGCTGCCTGGTGCCTACCAGGCCAGAGGCCAGACACCCTGGCTTTAGCACTCCTGGCCTTACTGCCCCGGCCTTGCTGGTCAACCTGCTCTGCCAGACCGCTGAGCTCTGGGCTAGCCAGAGCTGCCTTTGCTTCCCGCAGCCATCTTCATAACTAAGAAAGCACTGTTACCCTCTCCAACTCACTGCTCATCCTTGTCTGAAAACCCAATCTCACCTTCCACAGGAACAGCAGTCAAGCTGCCCTCGTCACCCCGGGCTGTTAACACTGAACACACTTTGTTCTGCACGGCTTTTGTCCTTGGCTGGGGAGTGTGCTTTTCACCTGTTAGCCCCCAGAGGTCAGGGCAGTGCCTGGCCATGTGGTGGTCACTGGACACCGGGGTGCTGGGTGAACAATGGAGGGCAGAGGTGGAAGGGGACTGGAGGATGTGCTATGTGTCCAGAAGCAGTGGAGGTGACGTGCGGATGGCTGCACACTACACACACCACAGGCCCAGATGGAAGAGACAGCCAACTCTGGCAGGAACTGCATCTGACTTTCTGCTGTCAGGAGGGAAACGCGGGGACTGCAGGGTCACTACCAGCCACATTCACTACCAGCCGCTGCACAGAAGGGCTTGTGCTGAACTACAGCTACAATAACAATCTGAACAGGGAGGAGCAGGTGGGAAAAAGCCACAGTATGCAGAAACCACAAGGAGAGCTCGGGCCACAGTACCTAACCTGAGGAATATGCGGGTAGCACGGCCCTCCCTCTAGGCCCAGCCCCACAACCTGCCTGGAGCAAAGCTGCCCAGAACACAGGGGACCACGAGCGAGCAACACAAAATACTGGAAAGAACACTGAAAAGCGCATTACTCAACACTGCTGGGAGAAACGGTAAAATCACAGCTACTGGAAGACTCCGGTTTCTTCTTAAAAGAACTGAACCACAGTGATGGTGATCACTGTAGGAGATCCTTGTAGAAGAAAATGTTCTGCTGTGATCACTGTAGGATCACTCTAGATGATCCTTGTAGAAGAAAATGTTCTGCTGTCAATTTTTTCCATCTGGGTTGTGACACCATACTCTAATTCAGGGACATCAGATTCCTGTTTCTTACCACTTATGCTCTCTATAATTACCTCAAAATAAGAGGTGGACTCAAAAATAACTACTGTTATAAAATCCGCTGGTGAAGGGTAGACAGAATGTCTGCCACAGAAGTGGACTCATGTCCTAGGTTCTGCCTTGTCCATGACAAGTCCTGGGCCCGGATGTTGGAACCTCATTATCTGATCAAAAACCTTTCTCACAACATAGGTGTCTGATCTCCCCAGCTAATTCAAATGAAGAGATCTGGTATTTTTGCATACTTTCAAAACATGTAGTAATATAAGAAAAGTGCTTACATTTTCCAGGTAACAGATGACAACAGTCACAGGCTAAATTTAAGACGATCTTAGATTTTTTTTTATGAAATGGATAAAAAATAATGGGGTACATCTCTATTTTCCTAGCCTTAGACTGACTTGTCAGGCACTGTGTGGAACCAGAATAAAAAGTAACTGTCATCCATCTCTGGCTAAAAAAGGTGGTGACAGGACTGAGGGGTGGAGCTGGAGCAGAGCACTGACCTAACACGAAAGACCCCAAGCGCCACCCCCAGCATCACACCAAAAGGTTGCATGATTGTGTATGGTTTTAAGTTACATTGAGAAAGGAGTGCTACACTTTGCACAACAAAAAATTGCACATTACAATTGCAAACCACCACCATGGGTAATCTTCTCTGGGGGAGGCACCAAGGTCTTCACAGAGTTATTATCCCTAACCCTTCATGTTGTTAGTAGTAGTATTTTTGTGGGTTTTTTTTTTTTTTTTTTTTTTTTTTTTTTTGCAAAAGTTCTCCCTAAGTCATCAAGTTACCCAGGCTGGGCTCAAAGTTTCAATCCTCCTGCCTCAGCCTGCCAGGGTGCTGAGATTACAGGGTTGCATGAACAGCAGTCAGGCTGCCCTGGTCACCCCAGGCTGTCACACTGAACATATTTGTTCCTCACAGCTTTTGTCCTTGGCTGGGGAGCGTGCTTTTCACCTGTCAGCCCCCGGAGTGCAGGACAGTGCCTGGCTGTGGTGGACACTGGACCTAGGATGCTGGATAAGCAATGGAGGGCAGCGGTAGCGGGAGCAGGAGGACGTTTTACATGTCCAGAAGCAGTGGACGTGATACAAAATTAATGTCAAGCCCATGATATATAATTAATTTCATCTGTCAAAAATAACTATCAGTTATAAACAAAAAAACCACCTAAAGTGGTTTCTTTAAAAGCTACACATTTTCTCCAAGGAAAAAGTTCCTTGCTTTTACTCAGAAGAAAAATAAAAATAAAAAATTTAATACGTGAAAATGACAATTCCATCTAAAAGGAGTTCTTTGGAGGAGAAATCTGGGGTTCACTGTGTGCTATATTTTCTTCTTTTTTCTCTTCTTCTTTTCCAACATTTCCACTGTCTTCCTCTTGCACGGCAGGAGGCTGCTCCCTTTGGCTGGCTTGTCACTGCCACCAGCTAAGCCGCATTTCTGAGAGTTAGGCTCCGTCGCTGCCGCTTCCTGCACCACATCACCAGACTCATTTCCGCTGATCCTGGCCTGGTCTTTTTTCTTTACTAAAACACAACAAAGTGCATTTAAAGACTGCATCCCTTGCCTGGAGTAAAGAGGCTGACAATGAAATGAAGCTATCTGGACAGCTTGTACTGCAGCAGCTCAGGAGGGCAAGAGCAGCCAACTCCTAAATCTGCTCCACTTCCCTTACCCGGGGAGGGCGCTGCCGGAGCAGGTGGGCCCGCCTTCGTGTCTGCCCCTCTGTCTAACCACACCCCAAGGCACGTCAGCCTGGCGTTAGTGTTCACTCCACAGAGCAAAGACGGTGGAACAGTCTACAAGAAAAGAGAGGGAAATATAATGTAGGTAACACGGGAATTCTAGCACTTTTCTCTTTCCATAACCAAGTTACCCTGATTTGAAGTGTACTACAGCCAGGCCCGGCAGAGCAGTGTTTCAGTCAGTGGCAGATCATGGCCCGCTCTGACAGCCGCAGGCTGAACCAAGGGTGTAAGTGCCTCTGTCACGTCCTCAGTGATAAAACTGCCCCCGCGCCTCTCAGAAAGCAACTTCACGGGAAGCGATGCACATCTGTATTTTCTTGAACATAAAGACATGAAGTCTGCAAGTCGTCTACACTCTTAACTTATGACTGGTTTGATGAATAATATTTGCAGGTCAATTGGAGATGTACCCAGAAACGTGAAATTCTAAGGCTATTGAGTAGTTCTCATCCACTCATTTCTAGGGCCTAAAGAAGCTTGTACAAAGTAGTGCCCGACAAACCCTACTCACAGGATGTGCTTGAGAGGAAGGAATGGTATACTGAGACTCCAAAGGGACTTCAGAGGACTAACAGAGTTCCAGAATCAATCAGGATGTTAGAGTCTGAGCCGCAAAGGCAGTGCTTTCCCCTAGAATCTTACGGAGAACACTCCTATTCCAAAGAGCGAGAAAAATTCTCGCATTAGCCAATTCACAAATGCGAACACACAGACAGCTCGATGGGGACCTGATTTGTAAAACCATTACATCAACCACGCCAGGAAATTTTAAAAAGCTTAAAGATCTACGTCTCACAACGAAAGTACCCAGCTTCACTTAACAAAAACATGTGGGCAGCAAAGCTTGGGTGGAGTGTACGTATTCGACACTAAGACACTGACCTTATCGGACTTAAGCTTCCACATTTTGATGAAGCCATCACTCGATGCTGTAACAAGAACATGATGCTCTGGAATTTCAAAACTGAACATATCTTTTACCCTAGGATAGAAATAGTAATGCCACAAAAGACTGTCAGGTGCAAGCCATATGGTATCATAAAATTATACATAAAGCAAAAAACTCTACACTCGCTTTTTTTCGTACCAGGATCAAACTCAGAACCTCACGCTTGCCAGGCAGGCGCAGGGCCAGTGGGCTACCTCCCCGGCCCTCTCTATGCACACGTCTATGTCTCTTGCTTTTTCAGTGCTTCAAGCACTTCCCAACTACTCAATGGTGTCTTAAAATGCAACTACGTTTCATATGAGTAGTGAGTCATTTGCAGGCCACGAAACAGTGAAACTGTCAAACATGTGAGGAAAATCTGAGGATACTTACAACTAATGGGGTGATCTCAAAGAAGTAAATATGACTAAAACAAAGTCCCTGGTCTCTCGCATTGTCAGTTCTGGGAAGAGAACGAAGGAAGGCTGCCTTCCAAGCAGAGCCTCTCTCACCTTGGGGCACCACTGCTACCCAAGCAAGCAGCTCTCTTTCTGGGTTACGGAGATTGCCCAACTGGCCTTTCTGCTTACAGTTTTGTTCCCTAACAGCTTGTCAATGAAGTCAAATCATATCACTTTTAAGCTTAAAGCCCTCCCTGGGAACGTGCTTTCTAATAGCACAGCGGCGGAGGAAGTGATAGGAATATAGATGAGGACTGCCCTGATGGTAGACATGCCCTGGGTTCAAACCCAGGTGCTGCAAAGACAGTTCTTTTGGAACATAAGCCCCATCGAGCTGTCTGTGTGTTCGCATTTGTGAACTGGCTTATGGGACACATTTTGCAAAGAACAAGAACATGCTGATGAAACACAGTAAAGTACAACTCTGTACGTTAGCACCTTTTTAAACACCACAGCGGAAAGAGCAGAGACTTGAAGGTCTCAGGAGCTGGTGTGAACCAGCTTTGTCACTTCCAAGCACAGCAACACTGAACTACCTTCCCTGAGACACAGCACCTACTCCCTAGGCTACAGCAGGCATGCAGAGCTGGAATCCATGCTACCTCTGGTACCCTGTGGAGAGGGAAGGAAGGCACGGGAAAGGAGGAGGAAGGACTGGGGAAGCAACAGCAGCAGAAACACTGAGAACCTTTGTTTGTGGGTACTGGGGATGACAGCCAGAGCTCCCACCTGCCCAGCAGATGCTCTACACTGAGTGTTACACCGGGCCCTGTTGTTTTTATTATTCAACTATGCCTGACTTCAAGCTCCAAGTCTAACCAGCATGTGCGAAAAGCCCAAATGATCCGCCCTGATCACAGTCATCACTTGTACATTACAAAGCCCAGATATATAATTCTTTGTACGCATTTCTAACGGTCTCTGCAGTTGCTATAAAAACACTCTACCTTCTGAAACTGATGCCTGTATGTGTGTAATACATACTAATTCTCTATACATACATAGGGAGAAAACTGCTGGATACCTGTTCTCATGCGCTTTAAACTCACAGAGGCACATCAGTGATCCACAGTCAAAAAACCTCACTACTTCTTCATCTCCAGCCACTGCGAGGACAGAGTCCTAGAAGTGAGAACAGGAAGGGCGTTCAGGACGGCCTCAGAAGTCCTGATGACCTTCACAAACTGCCCCCTACTTTTTTTTTTTTTTTTCCTCTTTTTGAGACAGGGTTTGCTATGCCATTCAGGCTGGCTTTCAACTCACTTTGTAGCCCAAGCTGGCTTTGAACTCACAGCAATCCTCCTGACTCAGCCTCCACCACAATTTTTTGACAACTTACTGAAAGAAAGGTAATAGAAGAAACCCGTCTTTCATTGGTGATGGTGCCGCTGATGGCCGCAGTATGAAGTTGGTAGACATCAATCTTATTTAGGATGACAACGACGTATTTCTCTCCACTCGGGGACCATTCTACTATGTGAGCATCTGTAAGTTATGAAAGCAAGACTGATTTATTTTTCTGTCTGTATTTAGGGAAGGGTCTACAGGGCGTTCAGGGTCTCACTGCGTAGACTGGACTCGTACTGATTCTCCTGTCTTCAGCCTCCCAAGTGCTGGGATTACAGGTGTGTGCCGCCATGCTGTCTCAATCGCCATCTCAGCACACCCCAGGGGTGGGGCCAGCACCTGGCCCCTGCATGTGCCTAAGCAGGCGCTTTAATCTGCTACACTATTTGGCCAGCCCTAAGCAAGACTAATTTTATAAATAGAAAAACAAAATGCTCAGAGTAATAAAAATAGCAAATATTTCCACTGTACATTTTCATATCCACTTTCTTATTTGATCTTCAAGACAAATTTATGGGACACATTTTGCAAGCTAACTCAAACAATCACTGAAAATCATAGCACTGACTTGTAGCAGGGCCACAAGAACCTACATGTAAAACGGGAAAAGAAAATAACTGGAAACATTTCTTTCACAGGAAACCGTACTGGCATGTAGAAAATACACCTGGGTAAACACATAACTAAGAATGTTTGTGGAGCCAGGGAGATAGTTCAGTGGCATAAGATCCTGCCTGGCCAGTGCAGGGTCCTGAGTTTGATCCCTGGTACAGAAAAAAATTATGGACCAGGGATATAGCTCAGCAGTATTAAGTGCCTGCCTGGTAAGCACAAGGTCTCCAGTTTGATCCCCGGTACAGGAGGGGGGAGATAAATAAATAAATGTCACAAGCCATATATATATATATATATATATATATACATACATACAGTTTGTGAACATTCAGTGTACCACTAGTTTTACTAAACGAAGATACTCACTTTGTTTTATGTTTTTTATGAAAGCTGATCTTCCCTCCACAAGATTCCAGGTTCTGTAAAACAAGAAGCCTGCTTTTGGCATGATCATCAACTGACTTAGTAGAAAAGCATCAGCAAAGTGAAGGACAATGTTGCCCAGCCCGGCTAGTAAGCACCTGCAGTTTTCTGACAGCAACATCTTGATGTTTCCCTCCTTCCCAGTTCCCAGGACTTTTGCACTAAACTACATCCCCAGCCCACTGTTTCCTCCTATTCTGTTTCCTACCATTATGAAACAGATGGTTTCTCCCTTTCTACCTTTCCCTGGCATCAGTGTCTTTAAATGGCTGAAAACTGGAACAGCACAGAAACAGCCTATTATGGCAACCACGACTCGGCAGACACACTCTGGGGCATGAGTGACCTACCTTAAGGTCTTATCTGTGCCTACAGACAGCGCCAACTTGCCAGACGGGTGAATGGAAAGGAAGGTCACGTGTCCTCTACAATGAAACCGACAGTTAGCTCCTGACTTGCACAGCACATGCGAGTGCCAGCGGGCGAGAGCGACTCACTTGTGAGCTTTCATGGACTTCAAGCACTCCCAGCTCTTCACATCCCAGACACAGATGAGCCCGTCTTCAGCTCCACTGATCAAGTGCCGGTTGCCATAGAACTTTAGGCAAGTTATTGTGCCTGCAGAAGAACCAAGAGGACACAATTACACTGGTTCAGAACTCAGCTCCACTTCCAGTTTGAAGCCCAGGCTATAGTAAGTAATACACATACTAAACCCCTCATCTCTGTTTCCTAGGAAATGCAATGAAAACAGCATAAATGAAGGTCAGTCCTAGCCGGGTCTGGTGGCCCACTCCTGTAATCCCGGCACTCAGGAGGCTGAAGCAGGAGGATTGCTAAAAGTTCGAGACCAGCCTGAGCTACAAAGTGAGCTCAAAGCTGGCCTGAGCTTCATAGTGGGACCTTGTTTCAAAAAGATAAAAAAAAAAATTGGGGGCCAGGGAGATAGCTCAGTAGAATAAGCACTTTCCCGACAAGCACAAGGTCCTGAGTTCAATCCCCGGTACCACCAAAAAAAAGAAAAAGTCAATCCTGAAGGGAAAACAATTACTGACAGTTTTTCTAGCCCTTAATCCTGCCAGACAACTTCACCATACTGTGGAAAACCCAGCCAGGGTGGGAATTACTACTGTGTGACTAATTCAACTCAGTGACCTCTGGCCTGCTGTGGACTTCAGTCCTGTACACTAAAGAGCTTAGGTGCTGACAAAGACCATGCTGGGAGGTACACGACACTAAGACACAAAGAAGGCACTTTCTATCTCCCAACAGGACTGTGAGCAGCCAAAATCTCCTAACAAAAAATATCCTACATAAAACTCTCACAATAAAAAGTCCAACTGAAGTCAAATACTGAAGTAATAACACCTCCAAAACCATCTTGAAGGATACAATCCTTACCGTTGTGATGTACGAGGGCCCCGTGCTCTACCTTCTTTTTCATATCATATATATGAATCGTTTCATCTTTGCTGCCAGTGACTACAAAACGACTGTTCACAGCCACCGCGGACAAGGAGGCAGTGTGGGCGTGGTGAGTGAAGTCGGCCACTGAAGTCCATTTCTGCTGAAGAGCAAAACGTGATCAGTAGCACAGTCACATCATGGTTGTCTAGCAACATGTGCTACAACCCACTGAAACTCTCATGGTCCTACAAATGGAATATGCACTACGCAGTGACATGGAGATTAAAGCAAAGAACCTGAAGAGTGAATAATGAATGTGAGCAAGGGGGAAAGCAATGCTGGGTATCGTGACTCCAGGACCCAGTAATGGAGAGGGACTAGACACAGAAGTGCCACCCAACTCTGTTCTATTTACTCACGTGTGAGACTTCCACATCAATGAATCAACTGTGCAAATTTTTATTTGAACTTTTTTTATTGGAACTATGCCAGAGTCAGGCTTAGTGGCACACACTTGTAATCCCGGTGCTCAGGAGGCTGAAGCAGGAGGATAGCTTCAAGTTCAAGACCAGTCTGGGATTTAAATAAGTTCAACCACACACCCGGCATCCTTTTAGGCAGCTGACATAAGGCAGTGAACAAGAAGTTCCTATTCCGGGCTGATAAGATAGCTCAGTGATCTAAGCACCTGCTTAGCAAGCACAGGGACTGGGGTTTGATCCCTGGCACCACATGCTGTGCCGGCCCTGCCCCCAGGCATGCTGAGCAGGCCACCAAGACTGGATGCAGTGGTGCAAGCCTGTAATCCCAGTGATGGGTGGTATTTAAATATCATAATTTATTTCATAAATATGTACGATTATATGTGAAAGTCACGAGCTGGTGAGATAGCTCAGCAGTCTAAGCACCTGGGTTTGGTCCCCAGCACCATATGCCATGCCAGCCCAGAAACCAGACGAGGTGGTACACACCTGTAAACCCTGCGCTGGGTTGGCTGAGACAGGAGGATCAGTACAAGTCTGAATTAGATAGTGAGACCCTGTATTTTAAAAAGTCACAAAAATGTTCCTGTGGTATGTGGGAAGCTGGCATTTCTGCACATGGAAAAAAAGGAACTATAGATACACGTTGACAGCCAGTGTAAGGTATTCAGGATCTAATGAAAAATCAGCCTTCCGTTTTATTAAATTTCTGGTATTGTACAAAATGTTAGGACTATGATCAATAACACCCCCTCTTAGGTAAAGAAAATGATAGACATTCATTATTTACAGGGAACTTAACATCGGTAGGCAAGGAGAGTAAAAAGTCTCCAGGGTGTGGATCTTCCAAACATAAACGATACAGTAGGAGAGAAAACATAACATAACATAACATAACATGCAGAGAAATTACAGAACATGGAAGGCACTTTTCTGGATGGGAGAATACAAGAGCACACTGTCAGCACAGGAATCAAAGTGGCAGATAAGGCAAGCCTGAGCTTTCTGATCTCTTGACTACTAGACCAGGATTTATTCACACAGCAACTAGAGGTACTCTACCTCCTATAAAGCAATCTCATTACTTATTTAATGTTTACTACAAAACTTCTAAACCAGGATTATTTTATTCCCAAAGCAATTAGAGGTACTCTATCTCCTATAAAGCAATTTCATTATTTATGTAATGTGTTTTCTTTACTATAAAGCCACTATATTCCACATTAAAAAAAAAAACAGCTTTCAAAGAGCCCCTTTGTGAGGCACATATAGTCAAGTCTCCCCCTTTTGGGGGGGGACAGGGTCTTGCCTTGTACTAATGGGTACAGGTGTGCAGGTGGAGACGAGGAAGGACTTCCACAGTTTTACGGCGTAACAGCATAACTGATTAGCGACAATTAATTGGGCAATTAAAATTAACTGGTAAAAGCCTGGGGAGATAGCTCAGTAGAATAAGCGCTTGCCTGGCAAGCACAGGGTCCTGAGTTCAATCCCCGGTTCTGCCAAAACTTAAAAAAAATAAATAAAAATAAATAAAATTAGCTGGTAAAGGGACTCCTACACAAGACACGACAAATGGTCTTCGCGATGACTACATCAACTGCCAACTACTACGCGGGTTTTACGTGGCACTTTGCAAAACGTCTATCCGTGTTGTAAGCGGTCTGTTTTGTACTCAAAGCCCGAGAATGTTCACCAGGTAACCCACGGACCGGGCCGTAAGAACAGCGCCGGCCGCAATGTTTACCTCGGCCGCGCGGCCACCAGACAGGCCGTCCCGCCCCTCCGCGCGCCGGACCTCACCTCGTGGTCGCCGCCCGCCTTGGGCTCCGGGTGCACAGTGAACCCAAAGAGGATCTGCTCGTAGCTCCCGGCCACCAGCTCCATGCGGCAGCCCTCGTGCCTCTCCCGGGAAGCCGGCGCTGCGCGGCGCGGCGCGGAGATGACAGACCCGGAAGCACAAAGAAGGGAGGGGTCCTTGCCGTGCCGGCGCCCAAATTGTACGTCACACCTAGGGTTGCCTGGATACAAGGAAATGGTTTCCGCGCCGTAAGCCTTCCAGGCGGAGAATAAGAAACGATGAGAAAGGACACCCGCAGAGGAGTTTCTAATTACAATGGGGGGGCGGGGGGGGGGGAGAGCAAGCAGGCACGGTCTAGGACGCCACGAGCTGGGCGGGCCTAAGAGCAGCGGGGCGGGCCAGCCTCGGCGCGAGGCCCCATTTCCGGAACGTCAGGGGCGGGACCAGCTTCCGGTTGGAGCGCCGGGGCTTCGGGAGGCGCGGTGAGGGGCTGAGATCTTTTTTTGTGCGAGGAGGCGTAGAAAGTGCCTTTGTTTCGCTACCCGGAAGACAGCAGGATTTAGGGTTCGCGGTGTCAGTGTCGGGTCTGCAGCGAGACAGAACTGGGGACCCTAGAGCAGAGGTTCGCGTCCTGCGCCGCAGCCTCTCCTTCCGGCCCGGTGCGCCAGGCTTCCCGGGGGTCGGGTGGGCCTGCGACGTGGCTCAGCCCGGAGAGCGGGAGGACCCCTCGCGCTGGGGCGGCGCGGCGCGGAGTGGCCGGGGGCGGGCCGGGCGACCGCGGAGGAAGGCTCACCCCGTCCTAACCCTTAACCCTGTTCAGGGGATTTTTTTTTTAAAGCAGCCTTTGACAAAAAGTTCGAGATTTCCATAAGATCAGAGATGCAGGGACGTGTTGCACAGCTTCCTTACCAGCTCTCAGTACTGTACTGTTAGCTCGATTCGTTCTCACAAGCACCGTAGTGGGGCGACTTGATAGGCGGGGGTTAGTGCACCCGTCCCTGGCTAGTCTTGAACTGTAATAAAATCCTTCCGTGCGTAGGCCCTTTTCTCTGGTGTTCTGGGTTGTCTTCTGTATTTAGGGCGTATTTTAATTCATGTTTGCGTTTGGAGAAACAATTGTACATTTTGGTACGTAGGCATCGTTACCTGGGGAATGTGTATGGGCACCATGTGTGTACCTCAGAGTGATTCTTACTTTAAAAAAAAAAGAAAGGAAAAGAAAAAAGATTGGTGGAGCCGATCACAGAGCTCAGGAGACCTAGCATCGAGGCCAGATGTTGGGGAAAGGTGGCGACTGGTGGATAAGTTCCAGGAGTTTTGAATCCCCAGAAAATATTTGTAAAATTGGATATACATTTGTAGAAGAAAGTGTTGATAAAACGTATATTTTCAAAGAGTAATGCCTCATCGAGAGTAAAATCCTACATCAGTCCGTACTACAGGTTACACAAATGCGGATTTGGGTCCAGAAAAGTTACTTTGAAGACCACGCAGCGAAGTAGCGGCGCTGCTGCAGCTTCTACATTTCTTGGCCTTGCACGTTCTTTGTCACAGGAACAAAGCATTTCATTTATGACCGTGGCAGTAATTTCGTAACTTGCTAGGGTTGTAACTCTTCACTGGGAAAAGCACATAATGCAAGGTTATATACCTGTTCGACTGGATTGGAACCGAGCACACTTCCTCCAAAACCTCCTTTGCTCCAAACAAAGGATGTGAAAAGCCACCCGATCTCCTCGTGAAAGCTGCAGTTGCCAAGAAGCAGCCAACTGTTGAGAGTAAAATCATCATCAGTAGAGCACAAGAGGGTTTATTTTTAGTTTTGCTTTTTAAATTATTGATTGGTTTCTGCACTGATTCATGCTGTCCTTAGGCAGCTCTTTTGTCAAATGCCTGGATTGAGTTTGCCAGAGAACAAACAGCCAGCTTTTCCTTCTCCGTGTTGGTCAGGTGGTATCCTCCATCAGAAGGATGTGGAGAAATGGAGAAAGATCGACCCTGTTACAAAGACCCTAACTCCGATTTTCCTGCACAGTGATTGTCGATTTTTACTGGGAAAAGTTGGCAGCTTTTAAAATCTTTTAACCTGCATGGGGTTTTACTCCCAGAGGGCTTTGCTCCCTTTGTAGTTCAGAACTGAGGGAAGCAAAGATAGAGTTTTTCCCTGCCCTGGACCCTGGATCTTGCCCTGATAGAACAGTCCAGGTGAAATAATACTCAAGGCTTGCCTTGCGGGTGGGGGGCTAGGGGCAAAGGTGTGAACCCTTTGCTACTGTGCAAGGCCCTTTGTTAGGTAATTCCTACAACAAACAGCGTGAATACAGTGGGGGTCAAACTTCAGTCAACCTGTAGAATTACAAATACAGCTGCATAATCCAGTGAGGAGGCAGTTAACAGGTGCAAGGAAAGAACAAGGCCTTTTTGGGGACAGGCCCCGGGGAGTTCAGAGGTTCTGCTCACCTGAGCGACTGAAGACTGGACTTCTGGGCCAGGAGGTAACAATTACAGTACAGTTCAAGTCACTGCTGACCCCTTAGCAAGAAACCTAGGCCTGCCCATTGTACCTTTTTCTTGAGGCCTGGTCTTCAGAGGCATCTCCAGGCACAAGTCTGATGTCTTTTTTTTTTTTTTTT